AGGATGTGATACACGTTTTAGGAACGTGAGTGCAACGTGGTGCGATAATGGCGGGGCTCTGAGCACAGATTTTGGGGACTTGTGAGGGCAGGTATTAGGGGGACATTAGGTGATGTTCTTTGGGATTCGTCCCAGGGATGGTTGGAGCTGGTGCACTGCCCTTTTCCACATCACCTCTGGAAATGCAGCAGGCATGGGCCTGGGGTTCCTGCCTCTTCCTGTCTGTCATGGGGACTGTTTATTGCAACCCCATGTAACAGCCTTGGGTGCCCCCAGTCTTCCTGTGGCCTCTCCTCTCCGCAAGCCCATGGCACACTGCCACGGAAAGGCAGAGGAGGAGGCCTCAGGAGGACAAGCCATTGGGTTGGTGTAGTGAGCATTCATTTCCCTCTGGGGACCTTCTCTGGCTCCCCTCCTGATGGCTCCTCCGTGCCCCAGGAACGTCGACCGGCCGGAGCTCTGCCAGATATCACTCTACGACTTCCAGAAGTTCCTGCTGCATGACCAGAAGGTGGGTGCCCACACGACCCACCATGTCCAAGGTCTCTGCAGTACTGTGTCATCCCCAGGGGGGTCACCTTGGCCCAGCTGTGGCTCCTTCCTGTCCCCAAGCCTCATAGCTGCCTCCAGCACTGCCCAGCGCTGGGCCCCCAGCCGCAGCATGGAGAGACCTTTCCCAGTGCTTAACCCAAATCTCCCCGCCGGGGCCAGGCTGTGATTTCTCATCCTGTCCCAGGGAACAGTTTATTCCTTTCTAATTTGAGGCTTCCTATTCCTGGTTATCAGGCTCTCTCCCAGCATCCTCCAACAATCCCATTCCTTCTAGGGACCTAGCAGCATCTCCGACACCAGATTCAAATGAAAACATTTTTTATTAGAAAACTGAGGTTTGTCTCACTCTGGCATTTCCCCTGGCAAGTGCTGCACATTGGGCGAAGATTGCAGCCAGCACTGGGTCCCCGCAGACCAGGGCTGGGGACTGGGAAAAACAAGGTGGTTTCAACAGGGCAGGACCCCAACAGCACCCATGCGGGTCACGGAGCTGCTGGCCATGTGAAAGGATTTGCCCGTGGCATGGGTTGTGGCTGAGCACAAGGCCAGCAAGCTGGGGACGCAACAAGGTAGTGCTGCTTAGTACCGAGCAGGCCTGCCTTGGAGCTCTGGGGCCAGAGAGATCTGCCAGCGCATGGCAGTGTTGATCTGCCTCCAGCAGGGGTGGGCAGGGGCTATTAGAGATCCCATTGGGTTCTAAGCCTTCCAGATCTCTCAGGAATGCTCCTGGCCCAGCCTTAGAGGTCTCTTAGGAATCCTCCTGGCCCCAATCTTGGAGGTACCTTAGAGATCCCTCCTGGTCCCAGCCTTAGAGATCCCTTTGGGATCCTGCTAGTCCCAGTCTTAGAGATCCATTTCAGATCCCTCCTGGTCCAACCTTAAAGAGCCCTCAAGGATCCTCCTGGCTCTGGCTTTAAAGATCCCTTAGAGATCCCTTCTGGCCCTGCCTTAGAGATCTCTTAGGGATCCCTCCCGGCCCCAACCTTGGAGAACCCTTGGAGATCCCTCCTGAGCCTGGCTTAAGAGATCCCTCAGAGATTCCTCCTGGCCTCAGTCTTGGAGACCCCTGAGGGATTCTTCCCAGCCCCAGTCTTGGAAATCCCTCAGTGGTACCTTCCAGACCCAATCTTGGAGATCTTCCTGGGTTCCCTCGCAGCCCAGCCACAAAGACCCCAGTGGGATGCTCCCTTCCTGGCTGCTGCATTACTCCCAGCTCCTCCTGAACAGTATGGCGCATTTCTGCCCTAGGAGTCCTGGGCCAGTGATGTGGGTACGGTGCGGGACTACATGTGCGCTTACCTCAAGGACTGCTCCAACGAGGCAGCGGACCCTTCCTTCCAGCTGGACGAGGTGCGTGGCCCCCCCCTACAGTGACAGCTCCTGCAGGGATCCCTGGCCCCAGTGGGCTCTAACCGCTCTGCTTCCTCCTCAGTTCCTTACGTACCTCTTCTCCAAGGAGAACATGGTGATGGACTCAAAATACGAGCGTGTGGTGCCCGAAGAGATGAACCACCCCCTCTCCCAGTACTGGATCTCCTCCTCCCACAACACGTAAGCCAGGGGAAAGGCTTGCCTCAGGGATTCCCACCCTGTCTCCCGGAGCCATCCTCCTAGTGCCCAGCACCTGGGGCCCCACAAGCACCCCCTCACCCTCAGTCCCCCCTATTGACCTTGGTGCTTGCATGGAGCCTCCCCACTTTTACCCCCAGCAAAGGCAGCCTGCTTATGGTCCCTCTTGCTCCTCTGCAGATACCTGACAGGGGACCAGTTCTCCAGCGAGTCCTCCCTAGAGGCGTACGCCCGCTGCCTCCGCATGGGCTGCCGCTGCATCGAGCGTAAGTGACCCCGTCCCTGCTGGGCACCCCAATTACTGGGACCCCACGGCAATGACGAACCCCCCCCCCCAGCACCCAGCAGCACGTCAGACAGACTGTTCCCCAGGTACATCCCATGGCAATGGGTCAGGGATGGCCTTCCCACATGCTGCAAGGCCTGCAAGCACCTTCCATGGTGCACAAAGTGGTGCATGGCGCGTCCACATGACAGAAAGCAGGGCCAGGAGCAAAGCTGGGAAGTGGGGCTGGAGACCAGCACACACTAACTAGGATGTACCCCCCCACCACTCAGTGGACTGCTGGGATGGCCCGGATGACCTGCCTATCATCTACCATGGCCACACGCTCACTTCCAAGATCAAGTTCCTGGATGTCCTGCACACCATCAAGGAGCACGCGTTCATCACCTCCGAGTAAGAATCCCCAGTCCCTGCGCCAGTCCTGCTCTAAGCTCCCAGGCTCGCCTCCCTGCACAATGCCCCCAGCTCTGATCTATGCAGGGGAATATTGCACAGATTCCCCTCTACTTCTTCTTCTGCCTGTGGCCCAGCTGACGGCTCTCCATTTGCTCCCTCAGGATCTGGCTCAGTCCTGCTGGGGATGTGAGTCAGCTGACACTCTTAGCCACCTTTCCTGCCTGCTTCCTCCAGGTTCCCCATCATCCTCTCCATCGAAGACCACTGCAGCATCGTCCAGCAGAGGAACATGGCCTCCCACTTCAAGAAGGTCTTTGGGGACATGCTGCTCACCAAGCCAGTGGACATCAACGCCGATGAGCTGCCATCACCCACACAGCTCAAGAAGAAGATCCTTATCAAGGTGCAGAGCTTAGCACCTCCCTGAAGCTCCTCTTTCCTTGCAGGAGCAGGAGGGACAAGGACAGTGTTGAGCTGAAGGGATGGGGATTTCCCCAAATCCCTCCACACCCAAATAATAGCATGCTAGGGATCTATCTGTGCAAGAAAAGACCTGCGGGCTCAGGAACAGGTGCTCCAGGACCCTCTGACACATGGCGGGTGGTGGCGAAAGGGCAGAAGTATGCAGGAGATGGGCACCACAGACCAAACAGCTGTGGGGGGACCTGCAGGGCTCTGCCTTCACTTCCCGAGCATCTCCTTGAGAGCTGGTAGCTTGGCGTGATGGAGTGACCATCCCCATTGCTGAGCTCCTCTTTCTGGGCTCTTTCCCCAGCACAAAAAGCTGGTTGAAGGGAACCTGTACGAGGAAGTCTCCACAGCCAGCTACTCCGAGAATGACATCAGCAACTCCATCAAAAATGGCATCCTCTACCTCGAAGACCCCATTGATCATGTAAGAGTCTTTTCTACCGACAGCTGTGGTCAGGGTGGGCAGAGTCAGTCAGATGGGGATGCAGGACATGATGGTGTGGGAGAGCATTGGGGTGTGGAGCAGGCATAGGGCACATGCTCTACTAAGCCATTGCCATTGGATGGCAGATGCAGGGCAGGAATGGGGGGCCATGCCCCATGCCACTCTCCTCCCTGCCCTGGTGATGCTCTTTCTCCCTCCTAGACCTGGAGCCCACACTATTTTGTCCTGACAAGCAACAAGATCTACTACTCAGAGGAGACATCCCGCTACCAGTTCAATGAGGATGAGGAGGAGGTGGAGCAGAAGGAGGTGTGTGGGGGGCAGGTGTGCAACCTTCTGGGAGGCATTTGGGGAGCCTGGAGGTCTCCACAGGGAGGGAGAGAGGTTCATGATGCCCTCTGGCCAATCCCAGCTGCTCATGGCCCCACTGCTCGGGGGGATGCTAACCCCATGGTGTCTCTCTGGTGGCTCACAGGAGTTCAACAACAATGAGCTGCACTTCACGGAGAAGTGGTTCCATGGGAAGCTGGGAGGGGGCCGTGACGGGCGGCAGATTGCTGAGAAACTACTGCATGAGTACTGCACTGAGACAGGTGGCAAGGACGGCACCTTCCTCGTGCGGGAGAGCGAGACCTTCGTGGGCGACTACACCCTCTCCTTCTGGTAGGACCCCCAGCCTGGTGACCACACCATTCTCTTCCCAGCACATACCCCACAGACAGTCCCTGCCTCTGCTGTCTGGGGAGAATGGTGGGCTCAGACCTTCCCCAGCAGCCTGACAGTCTGAGTGTCCCTCTGGGCAATCAGGGGCTGTCCTCTGGCAAATTCCCAGTTCAAAGGCAGAAATTATGGCCCGTAAGAGGTCTTGGGGCAAACGCTGCCTTTCTGCATGGCATGCAGCACTTTGCACAGCAGGGTCCTGACCTGGCTTGGACCTGAGAGCTGCATAACACACGCCTAATGCTGTTCCTTGTAAATATTATTCGAATTATTGCCATCTCCCCTCATTAGAGAGGGGCAGGCTCTGGCCTGCAGAAGGCAGAGGTATGAGTTGATGTGACAGGCTGCAATCACTCGGCTCTTTGGGAGCTTAGGGTACTCGGCACCACCCCAGCCCATTAAGTGGCTGCCAGGGATGCTCTCAGCCCTGTCCTCGAAGCATCTTAACCTGTACCACCAGGCCCTCTCCCGTCTTTGCTCCAGATCAATCCACCTCCTGTGGGCTTCTCCCCTCTGTTCAAGCACTCACAGCACCCAGACCCCAGGACTCCCCATCATAGCACATGCGTCGGGGCAGGAGGGGATGTGGGGGATGCATCTCCCCTGAGACCTGAGATGTAGGCATGGTGACCCTGTGGCTTCCCCCTCTCTCACTGCACCCCAGCACTGTTCACTACCACCTTCCTCCCCTCCCGGCAGGAGGTCCAACCGCGTCCAGCATTGCCGGATCCACTCGCGGCAGGAGGCTGGCACCACCAAATTCTATCTGACGGACAACCTAGTCTTCGACAGCCTCTACAGCCTCATCTGCCACTACCGGGAGGTGCCACTCCGCTGCAACGAGTTCGAGATGCGCCTCACTGACCCTGTGCCCCAGCCAAATGCCCATGAGAGCAAAGAGTAAGGGTGATCCCTGGCCCCGTCCTCCCCGTCCCCTGGCTCCATCACCCTCCTCCTGCTTCATTGTTTTTCCTTGCCTCTTCTCCCTGTGCCTGACTCCAGCATTGCCCCATAGCAGAGCTGGTGTCAGGTGAGGGATGCTCTCTCGGGCGCAGCAGTGGTAGCATTGGCCCATCACCTTCTTGCTCTCCCCTGGCCAGGTGGTACCATGCCAACCTTACACGCCTGCAGGCCGAGCACATGCTGATGAGGGTCCCGCGGGATGGAGCCTTCCTGGTGCGCAAGCGCAGTGAACCCAACTCCTACGCCATCTCCTTTCGGTGAGTGCAGCCTCCTCAGCATCCTGAGACAGTTTGGGCTGTTCCCAATCACCCGCACTGCAAGCTGAGCTGAGAATTACTAGGCTCGTGTCTCCTGTGACACAGCACTGGGAGATCAGGATGCTTGCTGTGCCCGCGCAGATGCCAGGGAGGTCTTTCCCTTCTCTCCTGAGCCAGTCCCAGCATGTTG